TGGAAGTCTTTAAGAAGATGTTGGATAGCCATTTGTCTGAAATGGTATAGGGTTTCCTGCCTAGGCAGTGGGTTGGACTAGAAGACCTCCAAGGTACCTTCAAACTCTGCCATTGTATTGTATGGTATTGTATTGTAAGTGCGGCTGGCATTTGTGAGTGCTATTGCTAGCACTGAAAAACTCTTAATTGGGGATTCCATAAGTCTTCCTATGACCCTCCCAGCCCAATTTTGTTATGCTCCAGAACTGCCCAGGATTGTTTCATTGGAACTCTGTAGCAAATTGTTAACTTTCAATGGTGATTGAAGCCAATAAAGCATTTCTTTCTTTCTTCCCTTCTCCACACAACACCATTTAGAGATTTTAAAGGACAAGTTGTGTTACGTTTCATGCTTCACTGATCACCAGGAGCAGTTTCCACCATGTCAATTCCCTGGCAATTCCTTCTTTCTAGTTTTATTAAACCTTCTGAATGCTGTACAATTATGAAAATCCTTCTTGCCAGATGGAAATTTATCAAATCAAGCTAACTTCAATTTGGGTTAGAAGAACCAATTACTGTAAAGTAGCATTGGTAAGGGTAGCATATTTTTAATCCTGATTTTGGTTGTGCTGAAACATAATTTTATACCATACATTTCACTCTTTTTCATGAATAATGTTATAATAATTATAACGTACATGGATTAGTCTCTCAGCTGGGTTAGGCTGAGAGATAGCAATTCTTTTTATGATATTCAGTGAGTTTCATGACACAGAAAGAATTTAAATTGAGTTTTTAGTCATTTAAAAATATGCCACTCTATCTACAACTTTTCAAATTGCATTAGAGAGAGAGTGTGTATTTCCAGTAAAGCTCACATAGAACTCTCATTTAGTTTTTTCTTGATAGGCCATCACAGAGTTTTGAACAAGTCACTTGCAAATCCAATTTAATGGCATAATGTATTCAGAAATGTACTGTTAATATGTGAAAATGGGGCATCATGAAGCCCTCAAGAGTGGAGCCAAATAATAGGGTAATCAGGAATATTAGGGAAGATAGTTGTAGAATCTAATTTGAATTGTTGAATAAGAGTCAGGTACATAAATCTTGCAGTATCTCACAAAAGCACTACTTAAGGAAAGAGGTCCATCACAACCAGAAAGAAAAAAACTAGTGATTAAGAACAACTAAGGATAAAGCTCTGCAATTACACAAACAAAAGGTTTTTTAAAAAAACGAGAGGCAACAAGGATAGCAAAGAAAACCCAGCATCTTAACTGGTACCTGACAGTTAGATTGCTAGAAAGAAACCCTATTTACAATAATGCTTCCCTGTACTTCTAAGTTAAAGATAGATCCCATTTCCTATAAAGAAAAATGCAAGGCCCCAAGGATTCAATTTATTTTTCTCTCATGGCCCAAAGAAAATTTAAAAGATAAGGAGCAAAGAGACTGATTACCTTTTTTTTTTGCACTTGAGGGTTATAAATAGATGCATTAAGTGTCTGCAAGTTTTAGCATATCTATTTTTAACCACTGAGCCAATCTCCCCTTTAAAAATCGAAAAGAAAAAGTAAAAGAAAATGTTTGGTTTTCCTCACTCTGTGACAGTCTCATGCCAAAAGTCACAAGTTTTCTGCAATTCTTGAAAAACTAGGAAAAAAAGTGGTGGAAAAAAGTGCCAGACTTTCTGCAAAAAAAATCTGCCCTCTTTACTCCACCCCAGATAGATAAAAGGAGACAAGCTCAGGAATTTGATTTTAATGTCCAGCAGAGAGCTTGTTTGCCGAGGTACTTACCCCATCTGTTAGTTTTTTGCAGAAACAAAACACACAGCAAAATAATAAAGACGTATGCAACTGCCAGAGTTCAAAATAATTTATGCATCTACTACAGTGAGCACTTGCTGCTATTAATAAGGCATACAGAATCCCAAAGAATTACATTTTAGTAAGAGATTTTATTTGAAATTTGGTGCTGATAAATCCTCCACAAGCCCAGTGGATGAAGCATAAAGAATGTTAGCATTATTTAATCTGATGAGAGGTTTGATGGGCTAATCATAATTTGACAGAGATATTTTTAAAAATATAATATAAAATCTGTATGAATAATAGTCCTTCAATGATAAACAGTGGCTAGGATCTCTAACTATTGCCTTGCAAACTAAGAAACTCTTGCCAACACCAATTGGGATTCACATGACACACTTGGGAATGGAGCGTTAAAATAAATGTTAATGGTAAGTGGATTGGAGGAATAGGAAAGATATGGTAGGAAATTGTGATCTAGCTTACACAGGGAAGGATGCAGGCCACTAGATGACTTCCATTCCTTTCAGGTGTTAATTTAAAGAAGAAAATTAACAATATACATGGCTTCCAGATGGTTCAGTTTATTCAAAATTTGGAGCATGTCTTTACTTAAGACGAAAGTGTTATAGGAACTATTTGTGATATTTCAGCAGGGGTTTTCTTGAGGGGGACTTGACTTTTCAAAACTTTTACATCTATTCATAAACGTCATTGTTTGAGATCTATAGAATGTGAGATTTTTCTCTTGTCTAAATGAATACTTCTGTTTCATTAAGACTGAAGAAATATAAATCTAGTTTTGGTTTTATCAAGGCCCTAGAGAGCCTCTATCGAAGTTTACAGATGAATTGCAGTTTATCAGTAATGAACATTTTCCTCAAATTAAAATGGGAAAATAAACTATATGAAAACCTATTGTGAAAATATTAGGAGTGCTAATTTAGTCCTCTAGCTATCAATACCAGAATACATGTAGTACTAATGAAGAATCCACATATCACAGAGGCCTGCAAAAAGGCAATTTGATAGCAAAAGAAAATAGAGATTTCAAGAAACTGACCTCCTTATGTCAGTGGCATAAGGTACTGTTCATGTAAAAATCTAAAGATTTGCAATCTAATGTTTTGGCAGCTCTTGGTATGTAACACAACACAGAAATAACAGAGCACATTTCTGTAGTAACAGAACAGAAGGCTCAGCCACCTGTGAGTATAATTACAAATATAGATAATAAAAGTTCCAAAAAGAGCATGATTTTTCCAGGGCTTACAAGAGTAAATAACTGAGCTATTATAAACAATCGATTATAATAATAATTCTTTATTTAGAAAAAAAAACATGAACACAGTAATGACAAGAGGGGCCCCTGTGAACTACAATCACCACAACTTAAGTGGAAAAGTCTGAAAAGTATTCTTGGGCTTATATGCAAATATGAACTCCGTAACTTCTAGAACTGTTCATGTGAATGTGTACCATAGTCTCCTGAAGCAAGGAGGTAACACTATTGTGGGCCCCTTTTCCCATATTTCTTTACTATTCAGACATATATTCCAGTATATTAAGAAGGAATTAAGAATCAAGGCACTTATTAATCTCTCGCATTTCTTTTAATTTCTGAGCCAATTTGCTATTAAATAGTAAAGCTATGCAGTGCTTGATGGAATTCAATTGGGAAAAAGTATTTCAGAAAACATGAGCGCCACAAAGGCAACTGTTATAATCTCACTAAAGCAACTAGGGCCTTTTTCCCTGATCATATTTCTGAAAAAAAGTGACTGCTATGAATTGCAGAAAAGTGTTGCATTCACAGCCCAAGTCATTCTGAAATGCCTCTTCCAAATGAATCTAAAGCACTGGCACCACCTATTAAATACACATACAATTATATTAAATATAAGTAAGACCCCATAAAATAGAGGGACATGTCAGTGCAAATAGTTGCTGACCTTTTTCTTATGACTATAAAACAATGCCCAATGGCTATATTCTCAGAAGACAAAATTACAGATTACAGTATCAGTAGTGAATTACAGATTTAGTATAATATTTGCAATACTTTTCATGAAATATTCATGTATTTGATTTTTTTATCTTGCCTTTTATTTCTTTATGAAACTATTCCATTAAAAAAGAATTTAAACATCTAGACAAAGGATATTTCATATACACACACATCAAAATCCCAAATGCAATTAGAATGATCTTTAATTTAGAAAGAAAAGAGTGTCTTTATTTTAAATAGCTCGTGGTAACATGCATATGCATGTACGTAAATGGACAAGATTTCCAGGATAGCCAAAACAGAGATACACTTCATATCTAAGAATTATTTTAGGTTTGTTGTTTTATAGCTTATTGTAGGTTTGATGTAGTGCAGAGAATATTTTACAATTAGATATCATTTATTTTCTCCGTAGCAGATAGCTACACTGAATAATCATTTGAAGGGTTACCCACAGAACAGCTGTTTCTTGTTTATTTAAAATGAATCAGAAAATGAGGAAGCACAGTTTTCTCCCACATTTGTTCCACAAGTTTGGTGGACTTTGCTAGACAGTATGAAATGGAGAAACAATACTGCCCCCCAACACAGACACAAATCCCCTCCCTATTCTGCTTGTGAATGTTTTCTCTTATGTATATCAGCTGATTAACAACCAATCAATCAATCACCCTATTTTTTTTACTCTGAATCATATCCAAGAATAGGTCCAAGCCATTTTTCAACTTCTGCCACAGACATATTTTTTCTTAAGGCATAGTCTTCAACCTGTAAAACAAACAAGAGGATGACTAATTAGCATTTTAATTTTAAGATCTTACACTAATAAAAATACCTGGGAAATTATATTTCATATTTTTTTCTGAATAGAAAACATTCTGCTACAATTCTATGAAAAGGCACCTCTTCAGATTTTTCAGTTATCTTTGGCATTTAACATTATGAGAATTTTTTGGAAGTTCTATATGATATATAAACAGAATCTAAGTCAGGAGTGTCAAACTTGATTTCATTGAGGGCCAAATAAGGGTTGAGTTTGACCTCAGGGGGCCAGGGTAAGCATGGCCAGAGTAGGATGGCCAGCTTGATGACACTCGTGTTGGGGCACCTGTGGAGTCAGAGCACTCTGCTAGCCAAAACGGGATCCTGAGCTCCGTTTTGGGCTGCCACGGCCCCATGCAACCCTCTGCCAGATAAAATGGATCTCCGGAGGGCCGTTTTCATTGGCAGAAGCACAGGAAGCCGGTCCTTCACTGTTTCCAGGGTAGCCTCACGTACCAGATCTAAATACCCTGCGGGCCAGATCCAGTCCCAGGCATTTATTGGTACGATTTATAGGCCGCCCAATCCCGGAGGACAAATTTAGTTTGACACCCCTGATCTAAGTGAACAAATGAAAAGTTATGCTTTTATTTATTTCATGAATGTAGACATTCAATGTGCACTGGATCAGTGTGAAAAACTAATCCCCTCTTAAACAACTTACTGTACCAACTTTAGCTAATGCCTGCCTGCCTGCCTGCCTGCTTCTTGATGTTGTCTCAGCTTGCTTCTCTTTTGCAGACATGTCATTACCAAAGTAAGAAATTGTTGCATGGAGGACTGCACATTACTAGCTGTTTATATGCAGTAGCTTGTTCTATCATTGGGATATTGTTTCTCCCTTGATTACTTTTTGAGTGACATATTGCTTGATTGCAGAAGTGTGTATTCAGGACTGTTTGCCTCTTTCCATTTTCTTTGCTTCCTTCCTTTCTTGAATGGTTTGTAGATGGAGCTTCTTCCAACATTACAGCTAATGACCAATTCATCAGATTGATGTGCCTGCAGGAATTCTCTAGCACTTTTGGTCTAAGATATCTGCAGTTTCTCAAATGGCATTGTTGAATTTTTTAGCTTATTGTGAAATTAAAAAGTTTACATTGTATCTTCTGTATGAGAGATCTTACATAGCTTATTTACTGTGCTATTGGGTTGTTAGTGTTATAGTTGAGTACTTGATCAGTGTGGACTTTTTTTGCGATACATTTAGAAGGGTAGTTTATTCTCTTCTCTTGAATCTTATTCTTTCAAAATGAATTGAATTGAATACTTTATTTGATGATTAGATACACAAGGAGTTTGTATAAATCTTCAGATAAAAAAGACTATAAACTTCCAAAACTTTTAATTATGTTTGATACGACAAGCAATACTAACACTTACTGCATCTAAAATAACTTAATCAAGACTAGGATTTCATAAATTCTAGACCCAAATAACACATTAGTAATTTTCTGCTAATATCATCAATAACTTCCACATTTGCAATATAACATGCTATTTAATTTCAGGTTTCTAAACCTTGTCCGCCATTTGCTCAGTTTGTAATATTTAACAAGAATTATTGGTACTGTTAATACACACATAATAAATTATTTAGCGCTCAAATACCATATTGAGTAGTCTAAATCAGCAGTTCCCAACCTTTCTGGCTCTGGGGACTGCAAGTGGCGGAAGCAGTGGTGTTGGAGAGAAGATGGTTTTACATGCACACTGCTTGTGCAAATGCAGTTTTGTGTGCTTGCATTAGGCGGCGGACTGGGGTTGGGGACCCTTGGTCTAAAAATAGTGTGTTTCTGTATATAATTCCCATTTACAGCTCTCTCCTTTTTAATGCAATTTCTGTAACAGCAAAAAGGTCTTACCTGATCTTTCAATATTTTCCCAACAGCAAAATACCTAGAAGCCGGATTGGAAAAGTAGAGACCACATATTGCTGAGGCAGGGAACATTGCTAGGGATTCTGTTAACTGAATACCTGTAAGAATCAAAGGAAAGTACTTGTGTTGGCTCTTTTGGCAGATATTGCCAAATTGCAGAATCTCTGACCTGCATCTGAGGAAAAACTCAATTTCCTGACAAATCCAGTCCAAATCACCCATTATAATTTTATAGCTTTGCAATCAATTAGCAAATTATCTATACTCTGAATGTGATTTTGTGAATTTGTGAAAAAGAAGGAGCTTTGTTCAAGTATACACTAAAAACAGATGATTATTTAATAGTCAACAGAGGATGGGACCATGCATACAATCCTGGGCATATGTTCTCCCAACTGCACAACTCATTCACAAAGTCTTAAGAGGAGGTGAACTTAATGGGGATCCTCTCATCATTATAAACATATCAGTCATAAAAGGAAAACAATATAAATGGAATAAAGCATTTATAATTTCTCCCCTCACCAATTTCAAAATGCAACTTCCTAACCAAACTTTGAAAGATACCTGTAGCTTCCTCAATATTGGCAAGTCTCCACATAGTGATTTTTTCTGTGTGGTCAGGTTGACATGGATAACCAGGTGCTGGGCGAATCCCATCGTATCTTATTTTACGCAGATCTGAAAATTCCAACTGTTCATTTGTACAATAAGCCCAAAATTCTTTCCGAACTCGTTCATGAAGTTCTTCTGCAAATGCCTTAGAAATAAGCAAAAGCAAGCTATAACTTTAATGATGCTTTGTCCAAATGTATTACTGTGTGATGCTTTCAACTCAGAGAAATCTAAACAGTGTTCTTGGTATTTTTGGTAAAAATTGTTTGTCATTGCCTTCTTCCTGGCACTGAGAGAACTTCTAAGTGGCAGTTAGGCCTAAAACAGGAGTAGAACTCAAGTGTCTCTCTCCTAATCCAACATCTTAACTACTAGACCAAACTGGCTCTCATTGTACATTACCTTTAACTGTTACCTTAATACTTCATGGCTCATATTCAAAGATATCTCTGCATTTACTGTAGGCTCATTGCTGTGCTAGAAGGACATTTTAATTGACCCATTGATTTCCCACACTTGCACACATAAAAGCAAAATGTTTCTTTCAGATTCCCATGCCTCCTGCTTATGATCTACAGGATTCCCTTCTCTTCTGAAGCATATTTGGTGGGTACAGGAGAGAATGAACAAAAAAAATTGATTCATTCTTTCATTTGTTGATGGAGGTTTTCAAAGAATCAATAAGACCTCTATTGTAAATGACATCATTGGATAAAACATTATGTAAGTTATCACAATACATTTGCTGCAGATAATAGTCTTCTACTTTTAAAAAAAAACAAGTTGGTCCTTCCCTTCCCCCCTCCCTTCCAATACATGAATTAAAATAAGTAGAATCATGTAAAAAACAAAACTACAATATATTACCTCTGCTAACCGATCTGCTAGTGCTTTCACCATTATAATGCTGTAGTCATCTGACTGTTTTTCATATTCTTTACATAGCTCATCTACTCCAAAGCATGCCACAGCAAAGATCCCCAAGTAGTCAGGAACATCAGACTCCAGGGGGGATATAAAATCAGACAAGCAATAATAGGGATCTGTGGAACCAGAATCTTTTTCAACCTACAATGTTAAATGAGCAACATGTTAAATATTAAAGACCTAACTGGAAGACACAATTTTAAGGAGGATTCAGACTAGGCAACAAGGATGATCATGGACTAGAAAATAATTCCAGTGAAGAGATTTTGCAGAGATTGGAAATATACTATGAGCATAACACTCTTCAAATTCCTGAATGCCACAGGAATAGTGAAGACACATTTCTTATTGTACAAAACATAAAAAAGTGGTCTTGTATTACAGGAAGGCAAATTCTGTCAGAACATTAAAAAAATATCCTTGCAGTAAGAATAATTCAACATAAGGACCAACTACTCAGAAAGGTGGTGAAGTCACCTCAATTGGAAGTGTTGGAGATTATCTTTCAAAAATCTAAATATATTTAGAATCCACAGAAAGATTCACTTTTCAAGTTTTCTATGCAGATCCAAAATCCAAGTACTACAGTTCCCTTCTTTGTGAAATGTCATTGTTTTAATCTACCGTTATACTTATTCATAAGCTTACAGAATACATCATTATTATTTTGCTAACTTTTAAAGACAATTATCTCCACATTACACACACATACTGTGGAGGTTTATTACATAAATGCAATCATCTTTTCTTTAGCTTCTTATATAACTCTTCCATTTTTAACTCATTTTAAAGACAAAGTAGGAGGTTGCATTACTATATCTCAAATGAGCAGGTTTAATATAGTGGCAAAGACTTTTATGGCGATATAGAGGAAAAGATAGATCATTTGACAACGGCTGCATAACAGATTACATTTGCACGTTCTTTAGCTGCAAAGCTGCGTGTGTTTTTCAGATTAAAAACAATGCTTTCAAGTTAGCAAAATACATTAAAAGTGAGGTTTTCACATCTCAAAGATGCAAAGAAACAGCCAGACAGGCATGCTTTAAATAAAACAATAAAAAATGAGTGTATAGTTTGTGATTCTCAGAGGCAACCAATCTTATCCCCTCCAAATACTTCTATCGTATACTTCTTGTCAAACCATTCTGGAAGCTGGGATTTAGGAATTTTCTAGCAAAATGTCTGTGGATCCCAACTTGCTTATTCTTGTCTACATATTCACAAATCTTAATTAGGAAATGCGTTAAGATTAGTTTAAGCTCACAATCTGAAATAAGTAACATTTCATTTGAGTAGAATATCATCAAGCCACACCTGTTGTCGTAAGCCACAGAACCTAGCTATTGGTTCCAAATTGTGTAGCTTCTCTTCTGTATCATATAAGTAAATATCATCTTTAATGCTTCGAGCTGACCAAAATCCAATCAGACCTGTGGCTTTAAGCTTGTTTTCTGTAATCAAACTTTTCAGCAGGTTTTGAGCTTCGTTGTAAACTTTTTTTGCCTCTTCTCCTAAAAAAGGAGAAAAAATCGTAAGAATGGCTGGATAAATCATTTTGAATAAACTACAATGGTTGGGTTCACACAGAATACAAACTAAACCTAAACAAATCATATTATAGTTTACCATGATGTGTCAATCCTGTCATCAAAACGTAAAGTAAACTCACAGAACTTTTAAAGAAAGCAATCAAGGTTTGGAATTTTTTTCCCTGCAACCTTAAAATCACTGACTTTGCTTTCCTTGTCACATCTGTTCAATGGCTGCATTGCTATCAACAGTTTTACAGTGAGATTTACTGCAGGCATTTGAATGAAAATAAGTATTTCATAAAAAGTATATGAATGTTTGTACATTTCCTAGTGATAGTATCCAAACATACAATTTTCTCTTATTAAATTAGGAAGATACAAACAAGTTTGAAAATCCTCTCTATCCACACACTGATTACAGGTGGCCCAAAATAATATCTTGTCATGGCAGAAGAAAATGATTTAATGAATAGCTAATCACAAGCCCTTCAAAAATGAAATTTGCATTAGGAGTCGACAGGAAGTTCTTTAGCTGGACAGACGTGGGGGGTGGGGGCTCTAAAGAGCCTCACATGAACCCTGTCTGATAAACCATCTCCGAGATCCTTTTGGATCAGAACCCCCACTGGAGGTGGGGGCAAAGAAGGGCAGCGTCTCATCAGACCCAGAGGGAGGCAACTGGTCCCTGGCAGGTCGGAGATTTGCCTTATGAATCGGAGTCGGGGCAGCAGTCTGCAATATGGCTAATACGATGCTGGCTTTTTGTCAAAGCAAATGTACAGGAAGGTACGGAAGAGATGAAAGACCGGTAACAAAATTTATCTAACCACAACTATAAATCAAACTTGGAAAAGGCAAAGAAATCTTGAGAATATAAATAATATTAATGGTCAGATCGGGATTTTTTGGATTTGGATTTGGATTTGATTGCATTTATATGCCGCCCTATTCCTGAAGGGACTCAGGGTGGCTAACAAATCAAAGGAAGGGAATACAGACAAGGGGGAACAACAAACAAGCAACTACAAAGAATTTAAAAGCAATCAACAACCACACAGTTCGAGCAGGGAAGGGATCTCGTCAACCCCAGGCCTGTTGGAACAGCCAGGTTTTAAGGGCTTTGCTGAAGACCTGAAGGGTGG